GTCCCGGGGTGTCCCGGGGTGTCCCGGGATACCCGGGAGCGGGGGTCCCCTCCGCTCCGCACCGGATCCGCGCTGCCTCACCCCTCTCTCGCCCAGATGAACCGGCCGGCACAGGCGGCGGCCGCCGCTCACACCTTCTTCGTGGCCAACCCCGGGCACCAGGAGATGAGGCAGAACCTGGAGTACTACCAGGCTATGGTGGGAGTCCACGAGGATGATTTCACTGACCTGGAGGCCAAACCCCACCTGGTGAGACCCTCCCCTCCCAAAGCTGCTGTCTGCTGTGGAAGCCAGGACAAACACAGCTGAGAGCTCCTGAGATGCCATTGCGGTGGGGACGAGGTGATCCATCATGGGGAGTGGAGCACTGAGATCCCCTCATCATTTATCATCCCTCCACAGAGAGAGTTTCAGCTGGGTGTCCGGTTCTACACAGAGGAGCAGCCAGCTGCCGCCATCCTGCACCTGGAGAAGGCACTGGAGGAATATTTAGTGGCAGACGCCGAGTGCCGCGCTCTCTGCGAGGGACCGTACGACTACGAGGGCTACAACTACCTGGAGTACAACGCAGACCTTTTCCAGGCCATTACAGGTGGGAGCCATGCCTCTGGATCCTGTCACAAGAGCTGAGTACAGTTCTCAGCAGATTGGTCCCCCTGGGGTGGGATTATGGGGTCCCTGAAGAATGGGAACCCCATCCTAGCTTTCACTAGGGAAGGTGTGGTGAGTAAGTGGCAGGAGGTGTTTACCTGCACTTAGCACCAGGGCTGATGCCCAGGAGTCCTCCACATTCCAGAGGAATATAGGAAGACAGAAGAGAGCTCTGTAGAGGGTCACCAGGATGTGATGGAGGCTGAGGATGGCTACTCTGTCCTGAGAGAGCACCACAACCCCACCACTGATCAACTCAGAGGTGGACAATGCCCATCCCTGAGGGTTTTCCACTTCCAAAAAGCTTGCAACAAGCCCAGTATGAGCAGGAGGTTGGACACCCCCCCAGGGTCCTGCCCCCCAGCCCGTGGGCAGTGACATGCACAGTGACATGCGGTTTTTCTCTGCCAGATCACTCCATGCAGGTGCTAAGCTGCAAGCAGGGCTGTGTCACAGAGCTGGCCTCACAGCCTGGCCAGGAGAAGCCTCTGGAGGATTTCCTGCCCTCACACTTCAACTACCTGCAGTTTGCCTACTACAACAGTAAGCAGCTCCTCACCCCATCCTCTATGGCTGTCAGCACCAGGCACTCAACTCTGCATTGAAATCATGATCCTCAGAGTGGTTTGGGTGGGGAAAGGACTTTCAAAAATAATCTCATCAGTCCAACTGAAAATGAAGGGACATCTAGCACTGGTCACTCAGATCTCCCAGAGCCCCATCCAACTTGGTCTTTAACACTCTGGGCAGTCTCTGCCAGGGCCTCACCACTCTCAAAATTCCCCCCTTATGGCCAACCTAGTGCTGCCTTTCTTCAGTTTAAGACAATTCTCCTTGTTCTCTCACTATAAACCTTGATAAAAAGTTGTCTTCATCTCTCTTGTGGCTGCTCTTGGTATGGGAAGGCCATAGATCTCCCAGGAGCCAACCTGACTCATTCTGTGATTCTGTGATTCCACATGTAAATGGGGTAGGAAGCTTCAGTGGCTGGAAATTGCAGGTTTGCCAGTAAATGGTTGTGTCTGGCTACCTGTAAATAGGCTTTGTAATGTTTTCCAAGTGAGAAAAGTACCCAAGCTATTCAAGTACCCCTGATTTCTGTTGTGACGCTTTCTGGAGACAGGAGAGCACCACAGAGTCTGAATTTTGCCTTTGTGACAGCAGTTATCCTTTCTCCAGGGGATCTGCCCTGGAACACAAGGACCGTGTCCCTCAACTCCCCTCCACACCTGTCTTTGTTCTGCCTCTGGTGTCCTTGGACATGCCATTAACAGCCCCATTTCTCATTGCAGATGGGAATTATGAAAAAGCCATTGAGTGTGCCAAAACCTATTTGCTCTTCTTCCCACATGATGAGGTGATGAACCAAAATTTGGCCTATTACACTGCTGTCCTGGGGGAACACCTGGCCAGACCCATCCAGCCTCGAGAGGTGAGCAATCAGATGGGACAAATGATTGCAGGGACACCTTGTCTTTTCACTAGGGACCTCTGCAGAAGTTGTAGGGTCTCCTCCATGCCAGCTACTGAAGGTGGACAGAAATGGGTGGATTTAAGGTCAGACAAGCTGGAAAATAGCTGAAAAACATCACTGGCAAAATGTCTTAGGCCATGTGAAGCTGGATGACTGGCACACATTCCTGAGAGAGGAGCAGGTGGACAATCTTTATAGGGGGATCTGAGCCCTCCTCTGTTGCACTCTTCCACAGCTGAAGAGAAATTTCTTAAAAAGGAGAGGATTTGGCTTCAAAATAGCCAAGTCCACCAGAATGGATTCTGCAGAAGGACCACACATGTGCCTCTGCTCACCTGTCATCTCCCCAGGGTTTGTCCACAGGGAAGTTCAGACAGGGTGGGGAAAGCCACCTTCGTTGCCAGATGGAGCAGGAAGCCAGGCTGCGGGTCTGAACCACAGGAATGGTGTAAACCCACACCTTCCTGCCCACACTTGGGGTCTTTCAGAACCCTCCTGCTGTACCTCACCCCATCCCTCTGCCCCTTGCCACAGGAGATCCAGGTGTATCACCAGCGGAGTCTGATGGAGAAGGAGCTGCTCTTCTTCAGCTACGACGTCTTTGGCATCCCTTTTGTGGACCCGGTGGGTGGTATGAGACCAGGGGGATGCAGTGGCCAGATGGAATGCAGATGAGGGGTCTGTGTCCTGGCCAGATCCTTGTCCAGCTCCTGATGTTGTTCTTCTGGCTTCAGGACACATGGACACCTGAAGAGGTGATACCAAAACGACTGCGAGAGAAACAGAAGTGAGTGCTGTCCCCAGCCAAGCTCACCCAAACCCTTCTTCCTCTGTGGGCTTTGGGCCAGGGGCTGTGGTATAGAGCTTGGGCCAGGGGAAATTTTGATGTTGGGACTGGAAGAGGCTGCTGGAGGGCAGAACTTTACTTCCCATCTGTCCATGGGATGATGGGCACGTGAAGGTCACCCCAAGCACTCACTCAGAGTGAGGGATGTGTTGAGGTGACTCTCTCCAGTCTAGGTTCCAGCTTCATTACTGGCACCTGAGACAACTTGTCCTGCCCTTGTGTTAGTGGCCCTCATTTCTGGTGTGGGGACAGTGGGGTGGTGGTGCTGATGGCTGCTGCATGCCCAGGGTGGAGCGGGAGACAGCAGCACGCATCTCTGAGGAAATCGGCAACCTCATGAAGGAGATCGAGACACTGGTGGAGGAGAAGGCCAAAGAGTCTGCTGACATGAGCAAGTTCATCCGAGAAGGTGGAGAAGGCCAGGAGGGGAGGTGGGATGGGAACCTTTGTGACCCCTGCTGCCAGCTCACAGTTCCTCCACACATGGGTGGCAGCAGGAGCAGGTGGTGGGACCACAGCTTCCCCCGGCCACCCCAGAGCTGGTGACATCTATCCCCACACCCACCAATCCCATTTGTGCCACAGGTGGCCCTTTGGTGTACGAAGGAGCCAGTGTCACCATGAACTCCAAGGCCCTGAATGGCTCCCAGCGTGTCGTGGTGGATGGAGTCCTTTCTGCTGAGGAGTGCCAAGCACTGCAGAGACTCACCAACGTGAGGGCAGGGATGTGTGGAGCAGGAAGGGATGGGTGGAGGATGCTGAGGGGTCACATCCCATCAGCCCAGTAACAACAATCGGGTTTTGCAGGCGGCTGCCTCGGCTGGAGATGGCTATCGGGGGAAGACCTCTCCTCACACTCCCAGTGAGACCTTCTATGGCGTGACTGTCCTCAAGGCCCTCAAGGTTGGGGTGGAGAAGCAGGCAGTGGGGACAAGGGAGGGTAGTTTCAGGCAGTTTTTCATGCCCAGCTGAGCCCCTGTGCTGTTTTTAACTCCTCCACAGCTGGGCCAGGAGGGCAAGGTGCCCCTGCACAGTGCCTACTTGTACTACAACGTGACGGAGAAGGTGAGGCGCATGATGGAGTCCTACTTCCGCCTGGAGGTCCCACTCCACTTCTCCTACTCCCACCTAGTGTGCCGCACGGCCATCGAGGGTGAGCGTGCCCCAGAGGAGCAAATCTCACCCTGCCTGGACCTCCTCTAACAGCTGCAGTGGTCTGGTCTTGGATCTTTCTCTGGAGACCTCCTTGCTGCTCCCTAACCCACTCCTTTTCCCAGGAGGGTGTAGGAAGCTTGTCCCTAAGCCCAGTTTGGGAAGATGAGCAGCAGCTCTGCTGGTTGCCTCTAACAGGGCAGATGGCTTCATGCCATACAGGATTTCATCACTCTGAGGCATTTTTGGGATGGGTGCTAAGAGAGACTGTGCCTGGAGGGCCATGGAAATCCCATGGGACAAGTCAGGAGGGTTTTAAGCCACCCAAATGGCTTTGCATGATCCACACTCCAGCAAGTGGAAGTGCTTTAGGCTACACGTGACTTTCTTGTCATCTCCAAGCATGGGATACTTGGGGATGGACCCTGTTCTTGCACAGAGGGGTCCTGACACGCCCTGTTCTACCCTAGAGAAGCAAGAAGGCCGGAGTGACAACAGCCACGAGGTGCACGTGGACAACTGCATTCTCAATGCAGAGGCACTGGTGTGTGTGAAGGAACCCCCAGCCTACACTTTCCGGGATTACAGGTACTGCTGGTGGCTGGCAGCTGCAGCTTCTCCACCATGATTTGGTGGCACCTGGGTTGGGAGGAGCAAGGTGGGAGGACACCAAGCCTGGGCTCTCCTGCCTCTGGCTCTTGCCATGGTGTTGGGGAGCTCTGGTGATGGTTGCTTGTCACCTCCACTTGTCCCCTGCTCCCTTTAGTGCAATTCTCTACCTCAATGGAGACTTTGAAGGAGGAGCTTTCTACTTCACCAAGCTGGATGCCAAGACTCAGACTGTGAGTAGCTCAGCTCCCAGGATCCGTGTGCAGCACCAGATCCAGCTCCTGCCTGTTGGCCCTGTCCCCTGGGAACATCCCCTGAGCCACTGCAAAAGATGAACTTGGGTTGAGGGGATCCAGCTCAGCCCTGACTGGGCTGTCCTGGTCTCCCACCCTTGACAGGCAGAGGTCCAGCCGCAGTGTGGCCGTGCTGTGGGCTTCTCCTCTGGCTCAGAGAACCCCCATGGGGTGAAGGCTGTGACCAAGGGTCAGCGCTGTGCCATTGCCCTCTGGTTCACCCTGGACCCTCGGCACAGTGAGCGGGTGAGCTCCCTCCCGGCAGCACAGAGGGGTTTTGGGTGGGACAGCAGCTGTGCTTACCGCCATGGGTGTGCCCACAGGAGCGTGTGCAGGCAGATGACCTGGTGAAGATGCTTTTTGGCATGGAAGAAGGGGATTTGGAGCCAGAGGCGGAGAAGGAATCACCAGCTGCCGTTGTGGTGGGGAAGGATGAGCTGTGACATCCTACAGGGATCCTACAGGATGTTTCTGCTGGGACTAGTCATGTCAGCACTGTGGCTTCGGGCTGCACAGCCATAAGGGTGACATATGGGACCCCCTCTGCCCCCAACCCAGCTGGAATTGGAGATTGCTGTGTACTGCCCCTGCAGCATCCAGCATCCCCCCGCAGAGCTGGCCTGGGGTGTGTGATGAAGGCTCAGGGGTGGGTGACATGGTGCTGACGGGTGCAAGATGTGTGCCTTTCCTGAACTTGCAGCTATTTAAGTGCCTTCTGCAGAAAATGAGTGAATAAAGGTATTTTTTTTTTTCTAAGCTGTCGCTTTCTGAGTGGGGACTGAAGGCTGGTGCCACGCTCTGGCTGTTGTCAGCGTTGGGGTGCAACTTTTCCTCCTGGCAAACATTTACCCAAGAGTGTTGTAGCCCTGTAGCCTCACAAAGGTGTTTGGGGGGCAGAAGGTGCCCCAGGGACAGTAGAGGCAACGCAGTCTCCAGCTGAGCATCCTCTGGACCCTCCTCCCATAGCGTGGGAAGGAACCCACCATTCCAGGGAGGAGGGAACCGTCCTTGAACAAGAAGGACATTGAGCACCCTGGCAGGCGGGGACAGGGCACTGAATTGTTCCTGCAGATGTCTGGCCATTACCATAACCATCCTGGGAATGTGGGCAAATAAATCCTGCCCCCTGTGCAGCCACCCAGCATCCCCCATGCCACTTGGAGGGGTGGGCAGGGGCAGTCTGGAGGATGATTTCTGCAGGATGAAGATAGGTTTCCAGTGGAGGCTGCCCACCATCCCAGCATCCACCCCCAGCTGCCCGAGCGCGTGAGCAGACTGCTGATGAGGCCAGGGCTGTTAACCATTGCCAGGTCCTGGGGCTGCAAGGGGCTTGGTGTCACCAGGGTGGTGACACGTGTTCCCCACACCCCCTGTCCCTCTCCTGCAGGCGTACCCCGCTGACAATGGCTTCTCTTGTTGAGTGCCATGGTGGCGTGGTGTGCCTGAGCTCCCTCAGTGAATGAACCGCTTCCCTGCTCCCTGTTGAATTCCTGGAGCGACCTCTGGGGGGGTCCCAGCCCACGGCAGGGGGTCAAGGACAACTTGGGGGTCAAGGTAACTTCCCACACACCCCCACCCCCTCCACCTGCTGGGGAGCCCCATTTTCCCACATCCCTCCACTGTCGTTTGAGGGACATCTCCTTCAAGACCCAAATCTCTCCCGTAGGACCCAAATACCCTCCCGTGCCCCAAATCTTTCCCTTCAGACCACATCCCTCCCTTTAGGATTCAAATCCCTTCCCTCCAACCCCAAATCACCCTCCTCAGACTCAAATCTGAGTCCCTTCCATCCCCCTAATCCCAACCTCCCAATTCCCCTTAAACTCCAGCTCACCCTTTAGCCTCAACTCTCCCACTCCACTCTTTGCCTTCACTTCAAATCCTCCTCCCTTCCCTCCTCCGGAGCCGTTTTCCCTCTGGGAGCCGTCGCTGCGGTTCTTCCTCTCCCTCCTGCATCCCGCGGGGCGATGGGCGGTGGGGCCCGGCAGCTGGCCGGGTACCTGGCGGCTGTGGCCGGCTGGCTGGCAGCGCTGGCCGCGGCCGTGCTGCCGCACTGGAGGCAGAGCTCGTATGCTGGAGACGCCATCATCACGGCCGTGGGGCTCCACGAGGGGCTGTGGATGAGCTGCGCTGCCCAGAGCACCGGGCAGGTCCAGTGCCGCCTGCACGACTCGCTGCTCTCCCTCGAAGGTGGGTACGGGGACACCGAGGCTTTCTTGTTCCCCCTCCTCATCTCTGCCTGGGGTCTGAGCTCCCCTGGGATCCTGAGCTGTCCTTGCCACGCTCTAACTCTGAGCCAGATGTGGGTTTGATGCTCCCTCGTAATGCTCTGAGCCCCTCTCTGTGTTTGAACCCACATCCCCAACAGCTCTGTAGCCTCTCCATGTCTGGATGCCTCCTTCCCCTGTGGAGCTGAGCTTCCCTGGCCCCTCCTGCAGCCTCAGTCACCTTCAGGTCCAAGTCCTTCTTGCCCCCACCCCTACTGTAGGTCTGACTCCCCTCAGAAGGGTCTGAGTCCACTCATCCACTGATCTGAGCCTTGATGTGTGTCCAAGCTTCCCTCTCCCATCCTGGGCCCCAACCTCCCCAGCCCAGGACCGAGTCTCTCTTGGTCCTGAGGGTTTGAGTCCCTTTGTGTGGCTGGGACACTCCTGGCCCCGGCAGGTTTGAGCTCCAGCGTGGGCATCACATTTAGATACTGACAGTGCCCCATGGGGACATCAAAAACATGACTGTGCATCACCCTTTTGGCATTTGGGGACTGTGGTGCTGCCCAGCCCAGCCCAGTCATGAGCAAGATGAGGGTGGCAGGGAGGAAGGTCAGGGAAGGCACTGAGAGCAGTGCCCTGAGCTGAGGTCTCCATAATGCTGGGTGGGGAGGGCATGACCTGGGAGCTGCACAGCAAGGACAGGGTTAATAAGGACAGGTCCATCACCAGCATGGAATGCAGTGAACTTGCTCCCTGTGACCAAAGGCACCTGCTGGGAGCAGTTTTTCTTCCCCTCTTGCAGTTCACATCCAGACATCCCGGGCTCTCATGGTCATTTCTCTGCTCCTGGGCTTCTTTGGCATCATCGTGAGCGTGGTGGGCATGAAATGCACTAAGGTTGGGGAGGAGGATCCTGTCACCAAGAGCCGCATTGCTGTTGCTGGAGGTGTCCTCTTCGTTCTCTCTGGTAAGGCAGCTCTGGCCTTCCTCCATCAAAGTGCAGGAACCCTCAAACACCTCTCAACACTGACAGGAGCAGTTTGGTGAGGGCTGGGCGTCACTGACAGCCAGTGTTTGATATCTCACTGCAGAGGGCTTTGCACTAGGTGATGTTTAAAGGTTCCTTCCAACCCCAAGCACTCAGTGGTTCTGGTTCTGTGCCCAGGTCTGTGCACGCTGGCTGCCGTGTCGCTGTACGCAACGCAGGTCACCCATGAGTTCTTCAGAGAGAGCATCGTCCCCATCAATGCGAGGTAAGAGCCCGGCCCAGGGGCTGCCCTTGGGGATTCTGTCTGTCCCTGACATCCCACTGCACCTCCCCTCGCTGGTTTTGGTGGGGCACAGCGCTGTGGGTCGGTGTGCCCCACAGCTGGGACCTCTGCCAGCCCTCACTGCCACCTTGCAGATGTCCCTGATGCTTTTGTTGTTACCAGCTGGGACAGGGTAGTGGTGGACATGTGGAATTTCAACCCAGGGGAGGATTAAAAGATGGGGGCACGTGGGAGCTGGAAAAGTGGGGATGGAGAGGGAAGAACCAAAACCTGCCTTGGCATCATTGGTCACCTCATCAGGGCTTTGAGCATCCTATTGCCCATCTCAATTTGCACCTCTGCCTCTCCCTGATGATCCCTCACCCCTTTCACCACAGGTACGAGTTTGGCTCTGCTCTCTTCGTGGGCTGGGGGGCCTCCAGCCTCTCCATGCTGGGGGGGTCCCTCCTGTGCTGCTCCTGCCCTGCCAAGGAGCGCCGAGGCCAGCAGTACCAGCGGCAGCCCCAGCCCTCCACGGCCCGGGAGTACGTCTGAGCACAGCCCTGTCCTCCTGCTGCCTCCCTGCCCTCCCAAAACCAGGCAAGACCCCGTGAGACCTTTCTCCTCCTTATCTTCCAGGTTTCAGCAGCATTTTCAGTGCCAGCCTCTACAACAGAGGTTTTAAGTGTCACACCTCCCGTATCCGTCACTGCCATGCTCTCCACAGCCGGAGTTATGGCCAGGCCGTGTCTGTCTGTCTGTGTCTGTCTGTCACAGGGATGCTGGGCCCCACAGGGGCACAGAGCCAATCCCACATGGTGTCCTGCACAGAAACCAACCCTGTCCCAATCCTGTTTTGGAGGAACCCAGAGCTTGGTTTTCCTGGGATGAGGTTTTCACTTCTAACAGCACCAGCCCCACTCGGGGCTGAAGCATCCCCACACCCTGCTCTTGGCAGAGAGATGTTTTCAGGGTGCAGCATTCCCCTGCCTCATTGCTACTGAAAAGCAACACTTTTTAAATTATTATTATTATTAATTATTATTGATTCCTGCCTGGAGGCCTGTTGCTCCAGCTGAGCTCTGCCAGCCCAAACCTGCCTTGGGCTCGTTCCTGTCCAGGACCAGGCTGTGCCTTGTTAAACAAGAATAAATGGGTTTGGGCAAATTAAAGCAGCAAAAAGAGGCTCTGAACACAAAGGATTTGTTTTTAGTTTTGGTGCCAAACACAACTATTTTGAGTGACAGATGGACAGAGCCCTGAATTTTGGTGCCTCCCTGCTGGGTCCAAATCCCTCTTCCCCACCAGGATCACCTAGTGAAGGTTCCAAACACAACCTGCTAATTGCCTCCACCTCTTTGTACCTCTAATCTACTGCTAATAATTGTTTTGCAACTTCCAAAGCTCCAATTTCATCTGTAAATCCTCCAAACTCCCTGTACTCCATCCCTCCAGCTCTGCTGCAGGTGTTGTGCCAGCCAGCCCACAGGGAAGGACACTGGAAATTATCCAAACAGCTTCACTATCTGATTTTTTTTATTATTATTTTATTTTTAAACCCAAATGTGAAGAGAGATAATTTTTAAAATTTTTGTTTTATTTTATTTTATTTTATTTTATTTTATTTTATTTTATTTTATTTTACTTTTTAATTTTATTTTATTTTATTTTATTTTATTTTATTTTACTTCATATTTTATTTTATTTTATTTCATTTATTTTATTTTATTTTATTTTATTTTATTTTATTTTATTTTACTTCATATTTTATTTTATTTCATTTATTTTATTTTATTTTATTTTATTTTATTTTATTTTATTTTATTTTATTTCATTTTATTTTATTTTATTTTATTTCATTTCATTTCATTTCATTTTTTTTATTTTACTTCATTTTACTTTACTTCATTTTATTTTACTTAATTTTATTTTACTTCATTTTATTTTCTATTTCTCTGCTTTATTTTACTCTCTTTTTCTCCATTTTATTTTCTTTTCCTCTATTTTATTTCCTTCCCCTCTATTTGATGTTATTCCCATGCCCAGATCTGAGTCCCTGGCTGTGCTGGAGGAGAAGAAATGTTATTTTTTCCCCAGGGGGGAGGGTGATTTCTCTCTTTCTCCCTGGCATTAACTACCTTTTTCTCTTTTAAATTGCAGCCCCCCTGTAAAATTGTGTCCTGCACCCCTCAGGGGAGAGCAGTGCTTGCAGGCTGGCATCACCCAGCAGGTGCTGAACCCAAATTTTGGGGTTCCCTTTGAAAAACACCAACCAAAAGCTACTGCAGGAAGGATTGAAAAGAAACCTTGTGCTTTAAAACAAACAAACAAAACAAAACAAAAAACCCAAAACCAACTGAAAAATAAAAAAAAGGCTTTTTTATATTTCAGTGTAAAGAATGTTTTTAATCTATTAATATAAATTCCATTAACTTTTCCATGGGATGTGTGGCTTGGAAATGGGGTGGGGATTTTTAAATGCTTTTTTTTTTTTTTTTTCTTTTTGTACTAAAAATTGTGACTTGGTGGTATTAAAATATTTTCAATCATGGGCATCTTTCTGGGACTGTCTCTTTTATCTCCCCTCATTCCCCATCTGGACCAGTCCCTTCCAGTGACTCCAGTTCAGAGCCACTCCTGCAGTGGGGCAGGAGCTTCTTCCCCATCCTCAAAGGTTCGTCCCCTTCTGTCTAAATTGTGTCTTTTGCCACGAGTTTCTCTCAAAGGTGGGGATGTGGCCTTGAAAATTTCTTCATTTAAGGTTAAATCCCTGGGAATCCCTCTTGGCCCTTCCACAAGTCTCTTCCCAAGGCTGAAATGCCACCAGCACCTTCCACTTCAATTCCACTTCCATTCTTATGGACCCTACGAGCTGAAGTCTCCCTGTTTTCTCCCATTTCCCATGAATTCAGAGCTGATTGGTGCCTAATTGGGTATTTGCTAATTGAAGCTGATTTTTATTCCCCTGTGCAGGGATGTGAGCCCTGCTCTGTGCATGTTTTTCTTCAGAGATCATGTTTTCCATCCAGGTTTTTGCATGGCTGCTTTGTCATCCTCGTCCTGTCCCCTGCACCTGGTCCAGAAATAAATCCCATCCCACCTCAAACCCTGGGATTTGCTGTCCTTGGTGGTTGCTGTGACATCTCCAAGAGTCACCCAAAGGGGATGGACACCCAGGCTGGCACATCAAAGCAGGGGATTTGCCTTTGCAGGTTAAAACAGAGTTTCCCCCCTTCAACACACATTTTTTTTTGGTCTTTAAACCAATTTAATGAGCAGAACTGAAGTTTTGGGTGGTACCTTTTGCTTTCAGCCAAACCTCTGGGAAATAATAGTCACTTTTAAATGAGGGAAAAGGGAAGATGATCCCCACACAAAGACATGCAGAAGAGCTTTTCTCACACCTCTGAGACATGGCTGTTTGAATTTGGTGGTGAATTTTTTATTAAAAAATAATTCTTACTCACTGTCCTGCCCCTACAGCATCTACTGAGTCCTCTCAAGTTCTCTGAGATGATCCCATCCAAGAAAACACCTTCCTTTTTTTTCCTTTCCAGCCACAGCAGGATTTTTAGTACAAAATTTGCTAAAGTTCAAGGTTTGGGTCTTGTCAGCACTTTTTTAACACCTGGTTTGGACAAACCTCATGGTCTGATTTTCACTGTCATTAACCCAGAAAAGGAACTTAATCATTTGATTACTGCTAGTTCTGCTCCTCCACCTTGCCTCTTTTCATCCCCAAAAAGGTTTCAGTTGGGGATTGACAAGGCAGATTAGTTTGATATATCATAAACTGAGTGTTTAGACAAGCAGAAAATATAAATACACCTATTTTATAGATGTTGCAAAGACCATGGAGGTACACTTGTATCACTTGGGGTCACACATGTCCAAGAACTATAAATTCCTGAGCCATAAAGGTTGGAAAATGAAGGTTCACAAACCCTTTTGAACATTTTTGGCCCTAATTCAGTGTTACATGCCAAAGCATTAGACCTGCCATGTGCCAGAATTCTGGGAAAACAGGAGAACTCAAAGCCCCAGGAATCTCACACATCAGGCACCTGGGCATCTCTGCAGGGCTGAAGGATTTGCCAAGATTGGTGTTTTGCCAAAATGCCCACAGCAAAATGCTGCAGAGGATTATCTAGAGGGGAAAAAAAAAACCCAAAAACCACAACAAAAACCAAACCCACCCTAAAAACCCAAGTGCCCCTCAGCTGTGACCCACAAAATGGAAATCTGGGTGTTCCCCATGGGTCTGGGAGACAAGGGTGAGCAGTGGCAGAGCCCAGGGATGCTCAGAGGATGCTGTAACAGATCCTGTGTAATCCCCAAAAAGCAGGGGATTAGAGAACAAACCTGAGGTTTTTAGGGCAGCTCCAAGTGCCAGACAGCTGGGTGCTGCTGCCCAGGGTCACAGGCACCAGCAGGGCCTGAGCCATCACCTCTGCAGTGGTTTTCACTTGTTTTCTGCTTAATGAGGAAAATAGGAAGGTCTTAATTACTATCCAAAGAGGTTCATTATCACCCTGGCATTCCAGCTACTTTCTTTGGCCCCTCCCAAGCCTCTCAACTCTGGTACCTCTCCTGGACCTTAGGCCACCCCAGTGTCTTAGGCCACTCATTCTGAGGCAGGAATTGAAAGGTCTAATTAAAAAAACAGGGGTTATTTGTCCAGGACACACCTGGGGAGAGCTCCCAGCAGGTTTCCAGTGGTTTCCCCACGTGACATTTTTGGGGAGGCTCCGTTCCCAGCCTATGACTGCTCTAACTGCAGGGATGCCCATCATGTCTCAGAGCACAAAGCCCACCTTGGACAGACCTTAAATAGTCCAGAGCAAGCTCCAGCTGGTGCTGAGTACCCCTGACTCCATCAGGTAAATCAGGATCCAATCCCATCAGCACTTAAAAGCCTTCTAGACCTACATCCCTATCCCAAATCATCAGCAACAAAGAGATTCTGTCATCATCCCACTGCATCCAGGATGAGCCTGCAGTGAAGGTAATGCTCCCCATGAACCCCTTTTATTTATCAACAAGGTTTAGAGCTGGTTTTTCCCAGCATTAAGAATTTCTTTCTCTTCTTTTTCTTTTTTTTTCTTTTTTTCTTGCTCATTTAACTGAAGTGGCTGAGCAGATTTTCTTCAAAGGTTCCAAAACAGCTGGGTTGTAGCAGAAACAAATAAGGTTCTGGGGAGTTAGCTCAGAAGGGAGCCTGGGGAATTTAAAAAAATTATTTTAAATTGGAGTCTAAGAGACTGCCCACTTGGAGTGAAGCTGATGGAAGTGCTCAGAGATGATGGGAGAGTGATGCCTCCACTCCCAGTGACCTCCCAAGAGGGGATTTGGGGAGAGAATGGGGCACACTGAGGACCACGACCCTCCTTCCCAGCTCTGCCCCACAGGGAGCCTGTGCCATGCCAGGGTGGGCAGCCTCTGGTGATGATGAGTTATCATCTCATGGTAATTAACCCTCGTGGCTCAGAAACTCATCTGGTCTTGCTAATTAACGCATTTGTATGAAGCCCTGTCCAAAGGGCTGTCCAAAGTGGTTGCAGCTTCAGGCAGTAAAATGTTTGGCATTTTGGGCTGTAAAACATGGCAAAGTGGGATTCCTGCCCAGGGTTTGCAGGCACAATGTCCCCTGCTCATACCTTGGGCACAGCCAGCTCCCCTTTCTGCAAAGTTCCTCCATCCAGGAATGGAAAACAAATGGTGCCATCCCTTCTGATCTGTAAAAATCCCTGGCAGCTCCTCAGGGCACCCACATCATGCCCCAGCAGCCTTTGGAATGGGAGATATGTCTTTGGGCTTGTGTTTAAGATTAGGACACCTCCTTGGGACACTTGCTTGTGCTCCAACCTGGATGTTCAACACCTCACAGCTTCTCTTGGAGTGAAAAACAAAAGCAAGAAAAGGCAGAGGATGTACCCACCAAGACAAGCAGGTGTGGAGGTCTCTAGAGGTTCTCTGGAGACGTGCTTAGGGCACAGGTTTTTGTAGCAGCAGTTATTTGACAGTAGTTTCCAGCAGCTCTTGATTCCCAAAGGGAAAGTACTGATGGTTGGCAGGTTCTCTTTGGAGGACAGGGAGCCAATGTGGGAATTTCCACTAGAAAATTACTGTGTGTCTAAAAGCTCTCTCTGCATGTAAACCTGGTGGCCCAACCTCGGCTGAGGACATTGAGAGCATTTTGACACCAAGTGAGCACTGTGAGACAGGACCCAGGTGACTCCTGGGGATCCAGAGGGTGCCTGGCCTTGGTGGCACTTTGTCAGTGGAAGATTGGGTGTGTGGAAGTAGCCAGAGCAGAGTTGGTGAAGATCTCTGTGCCCTTGCAGCTCAGCCCATGGGTGCAGCCCTGCAGGTGACAGCATTTGGGCTTGCTCTTCTCTCCACACTCTTCCTCCTCCTGGCCACGTGCACGGACTGCTGGATGGTCAATGCTGATGACAGCTTGGAGGTGAGCAGAGAATCAGCTGGAAGGTGAGCAGAGTAGCCACCCTTAAGGTGAGCAGAGCAACCATCGTCCTCAAGGTGAGCAGCTGAGAGCAAGGTGGGTGCCTTGCCACCCATGAGGATGCACCATGTCTCCACAGGCTTGGAAAGGGACGTGGTGGGACAAACCCAGCGCTTTTTGAGTCGAAGGGTTAGACAATTATAGAGATAAGAGGGATGGAGCAGGAGAAAATACAGAGCAGGGATGGGCAGGGAGTCATGGGACATGTCCAGGTGTAGTGGTGGGAGCCTGAAATCTGCCCTGCTGGGCTGGGAGATCCATGGGAAGCTGGGGAAACTCCGGTGCTTTTTGCATGAGTGCCTTTCTCCTGCTTCCAGGTAAGTCACAAGTGCAGGGGCCTCTGGAGGGAGTGTGTCACCAACATGCAGGACGGGGTCAGGACCTGTGACCAGTATGACTCCATTCTGGCTGACCACCCAGGTGAGCTCACCTGGCCTGGAGGCATTCACAGCTCAGAGTCTTCTTGAAAGGGAAGAGGGAAAGTGGTTTTCATTGCACTGAGCTGCCCTTTGTCAGTCAGCCACACCAACCTGGGGCTGCTCTTGGTCTCCTGCCCCAACAGCCTGGCCTTGGCAGCAACTCAGGGTTCAGTCACACCTGTCCTGGGGTCATCAGGCAGAGAAGAGGTTGTGAAGCTGTGTCACCTCACAACAAAGGTGTCCTGGCATGCAGAGCCCAGGATTTGCAACCCACCATGCTGCAGGCAGAGCAAGGACTGTTCCCACTGGCCAAGGACTCGTCCCCACAGCTCAGGGACAGTCACATCAGGGTAGGGACGTTTCTTCTGGCCTGCACAGGGTACATCAAGCCCTGCAGAGAGAACCTTTGTGTTGGTCATGACATGGAACAACACAGACTGAGCCAGTGGAGAAGGAAAGTATTTGATATGGACTAAAGGGGGCTGCCACCTTGCTCTGGGGAGAAGGGAGCTCTGCAGGGCACAGGCCCATCACAGCTGGTGATGTGATCTATGCCAGCTCTTGTTTTTTCACTGGAATATTGACATTTGCTGTTCAAAACACCTACTACACAACTGGGAGGAAAAAACAGTGTGGACAACAGTGTCTTCTGCTCAAGAATGGCTTGAGCAGGTGACCACATACCAGGTGCTGATGGGTGTACCTTGAGTTTGGTTTCTTGAGCTGGTCTAATCCTAGGTTTAAGTCCTTATTAAGTTTCTGATGAGCTTGTTGAGCACATTCCCTTGGCCCATGGCAGGGATGGGGTTGGTGGGTTCCAGTGTGATGGTCACTGGTGTGCTGGGTGACTGAAAAGGACATGGGCAGAAATTGGGAGTGGAGAGACCTGTTCTTCTGATAATTCCTCATTCCCATTTCTGGTTGTTTTTAACTTCCCTGCCCAGTGAAGATCGTGGTGACACGGACCCTGATGATCACAGCAGATCTCCTGGCTGGCCTGGCTTTGGCTACACTGATCCTTGGGCTCGACTGCATCACATTCCTCAAGGAAGATCCTTGTGTCAAGCTGAAGATGTGCTATGGAGCTGGAGCCATCCTCGGTGCTGGGAGTGCGTGGCTGGGAGAGCTTGGGAGCAGAGCTCACGTCCCACAGGGAGCTGGGGATCATGCTGGGAGCTGTGGGCACCCCCTCAGTGGGGTTTGGGGAGCACAGGGGGTTCTGTGGTTCCTTTTAACAAGCCTCATTCCTCCTAGGCATCCTGGGGCTCATAGGCTCTGTGTGGTATGCAGTGGATGTCTACATGGAGAGGGCCATGCTGGTGGCACACAATATATTCCTGGGAGTCCACTATGACTTTGGCTGGTCGTGCTGGCTGGGGATGGCTGGCTCCACTGGCTGCTTTGTGGCATCTGTCCTGCTGACCTGCTGCCTCTATGCCTGCACAGGTCAGTCTGCCTCATTCCACCCCATCCTATCTCAAGGCTTTTGCCCTGCAGGGATAAGGAGTGAAGGATCAGCTCAGGGGGCACAGGGGCTTCTTGCAGGGTCCAGCCTAACCAAGGGGAACCCCTTTTGTCCTGTCCCTTGTGCCTGTGCCCCTTGGCTGGGGAGGCTACACAAGGCAGAACAGGGCTGAGTGAGGGGCCCCATAAACCCTTTAAAGGCATGAAGAGGGTGCAGGGGCCCATGCACATCTGTGGGCCTCCAGATCCTGGTGGAGGTGTGCAGATGTTTACTCAAAGCAGGAACTGTGCTGGAACTGAACCCCTGTCGCCAGCCAAAGCCTGAGCCAGTGGCCAGGTGTAAATACAGCCCCAGCAGCAGGGACATTGGGCAGGTGATTCCTCCCCAGACATCATCTCCAATCCTGGTCCCATGGGGTGCAAGTTAACCCTTCTGGCTGTCCAAGCTCCTTTCTCCTGCCATGTCCCTGTTCTGTGGCAGCCCCAAGTCACCCTATGACAACCCCACCTCTTTCCTGGCAGCCCCCAGCAGCCGCTGCCCACCCCAGAGGCATCCCCAGCCCCGGGGCCGAACAGCCACCAGCAAGATGTATGCCATGGATTCCTGTGTGTGATGGGCAGCAGCACCTCCTGCACCCAGCCCCGATGTGGGACCCCCTCCCTGCCATCTGACCCCATTAAAGCACTAGAACCTGTACTGAGACATTTCTGTAGCTGCTTCCAGGCTCTGACACAGCCAGCTGGCTCCTAAAAACGAGAGTACTGCAGCACTCAGCCAGGGAAGGGTTTTTTTCCCCTCCTTCCAGCCAGGTTTCATGAAATAAATCCCAGAAAAGTGTTGCTTTAGGAACAGATGTTCCCCAAGAAAGCTGTCAGGACCCTGTGGGCAGAGTAACTGCTCTGACATTGCTCAGCCCATGCTTTGGGGGAATTCATTGGGAAGTCTTTTCTGCACAGAGCAGCACTGACTCCATGTGGCTGGCAGCCCTGGTTCCTCCCACACCAGCCCCACAGGAAACCTTCCCTGGGTTTGGGTACAGGGCAGCACAAGGTTTGTGCTCAAGGACAGGGTAAAACCAGGAGTCTGAACACTTGGTTATCAATGTTCTCATGGGGGATCATCAAGGAACACCGAAGCCATACACACCAGACACAAGGTGAGTCAGGCTGAAGCCTGATGGAGATCTCTACCTACAGAGTGCAGTTTTGAAGTTCACACAAAATGGGAATTACTTCAGCATTTGCAAACCACTATGAAAACAAATCAGAACCTGAAGTCACCAACTCAATCCCCACCACCCTCAATTACTGAATGCCAGTTTTGGCCTCATTCCCTTACTCCTCACCTCAAGCTAAGCACAGACACCTCTGCAGCACAGGGAAACCAAGCAGAAGCTCCTCAGCACTGTCCCCTGAGGGGTGGCAGGTCAAGCTCCAGGCTGAGCAGACGGTGCTGAAGGGGCACAGTCAGTCCCAAAAGAGACAGACTTGCAAGTGAAGACCTGCAGTGCCACTCCTGCAGCCCAGCCAGGCTGCAAAGCACCTGCATCCAGAACCCAGAGGAGCTGCAAGGGTCCCCTTGAGCCATTTGCCCCATCACATGAAGCCAAAAGGCAGCAAAGCTGTTGTTTATTGCAGGTTCTTACACTTTTGCCAGACAGCATGTCCGGGACAAGGCTGTCCCTGTCACCAGCAGCACCCCAGGGAGCTGGGAAAGGAGAAAATCCCAACACTGAGTGGCAGGAAGAAGGAAGAGAGATGAGATTTTGCTGTCAAACAGCAGTGTTGAGAGGGCAGGATGCTCACAGATGGCACAGCCAGGGGATGGGCAGGTGGGAGCATCAGAAGGTGCTTGGAGAGAGCAAAGCCTGGAGCACTGGGACTGTTGGGACACCTGATTGGGACACTGGAACCACAGGAAAATGATTTATGAGCACAGAGCTCATTCGTGTGTAGAAAGGTCCCAGAAGCTGCCACTGGGCAGAGACAAGGGGGAGCAGCCCCCACTCCCCAAGTTCACACCATGGGGTGCAGCCAAAGCCAGTTCTGGCACAAAGCACAGAGGTGTCCCTGCCCATGGCAGGATAGGGGATGAGGTGAGCTTTGAAGTTCCTTGTTCCTCCAACCCAAACCAATGTGCTATTCTATCATTTCTGGGAAATGGGTTTTTTTTGCCCTTTTTTTTAAGCACCCTCACACCACCTCAGTTCTGCAAGTGCTGTACCCCAGCAAGGACACAGCCAAGCTGCTCCAGCAAACAGCTCCTGGAAACACACTGGGTCTTAGCACCCATCCCTCTGTGCCTGCCCATCCTTCACTGTCACTCAACTGCATCTCCATTGGTTTTACTTCCATTTTTCTATTTTACCCCACCAGCCTTGTATGCCCAAAGAGTAAAACAATCACATTTTTTACCAAACCTTCTATGAATACTTAAATCCCTTTCAAACAAAAGTGGGTTTAAAACACCTAAGCACACATGGTAACTCTTTAAGACCTTTATTAACAGATGCTTGCAGTTTGACTTGAAAAAATCAGGCGTATACTTCATACAAATTAAAAATGAGGTTCTTAAAAATCTCAACGTGACCAGATATGAAACAATTTACAAACTTTTAAAGGTATATTGAGAAAAAACAGGCTTTTAAAAAACGTGTTTATCATTTCCAAAAAGAGAATTCTTTAGGTAAAAATAATAAAAACCCCATGCTGCATAGATAATGCAGATAGTTCTAGTAATCTGGTCAACAGCAAAAAGCAAGCACTTAAGGTCTTCAGTTCCAATTCTTTTGTTCATTTCTTATTGCTGGAATTTCATTTTCTTCTTCATTTCTTAAAGTCTTTTCTTTGATGACTAAACTGAAAAAGAAGGAAAAGAAAAAAAAGGGCTGATCAGACAGGTGACAAAGGGTTACAGGGGTGCTTTGTGTACTAACACCTGCAACTCAAAAATTCACCCTAAGCTGCCTGTCACAAGCTCACAGACCAACCCTCACCCCCTGCAACCACATCAGCCACCTTCCCACAGGAGCAATGCCACAGACTCCAAAGAGAGCTCTCAGACAGCTTAAACCCAACAGGATCCTTTGCTCATGGGGAGGGCTGCTCCCACCAGGCTCTGCTGACATTCAGCCACTGCTCAGAGCACAGAAACTAAACCAAATATTCTCCAATGCTACCAGACAGCAAGAGGTCCCAAGGTGCCATTGTGGTATCCTTTTGCAGCCCATATTTTTAAGAATTCATCCAGGAGGTGTTGACCACAAAGATGAATACCAGGATACAACAAATGTTCACCAGAAGTGCACAGAGATCACTGCAGCACAGCCTGGGCAGTGAATGAATGATCCATCTGCATGTGGAGCCCCATGCAGAGCAAGTCCCCAAGCTCCCACAGTTTGGGGGAGGCTGCAGCTGCTGCTAACACTGAGCTTTTCTCCCAGCCCCACTCCTCCAGCCCCTGTCCATCCCATCAATGTGAACACTCAGTCTGCTCCCACTACAGCCTAAATGCCTTTTCCACTTTCCTGCCCTCCAGCTAATGAGCAAGGAGCAAGTGACAAAAGGAATGGGACACACACACAAGAAATGCACAACAAGTAGAGTCCTGGCAATGAAAACATTCCTGAATTAGCAGAACTGTCCCTCAGGAGTCAGCACCAAACAAGCCCAAATTGCAGCCAGGTTCCTTTGCCTAACCCAGCCTTTGGCCCCTGCCCTGCACACAACCCTCCCAAGTCCACACCTCAGCACTGTGACACAGCTCCCACAGCTCTGACAAAAGCACCATTTCCACCGTTTTTTCCAGCACTTTGATTAGATAAAAAGTTGCTCCTGGGACACTCCTGCTAATTCCACAACACCTTTGTAGAAATGGATGCTGAGGTCTCAATGCCATCCACCTCCCAGTAGGGACTCAGCTGGGTAAATCCCAGCACGTGCTTCTCCTGACTACTTTCAAGTCTTTACACCAGCACTGCTTGAATTTCTGGGTGAGCAGAGACTGCTGTACACCTGAACTACCACACACAGCCAAGATTTAAAGTGTAGCACTATTCCACCAATGACATTTCAAGCCTGTAACTAAGACCTTGTCAACAAAGCCTCACAGAGCTCAGCAGACACACAGATCAGTTATAGCACACATGAGCAAGAAGAATCCAAACCTTCTAAGGCACAAATTAAAAGCATCAAAAGAAAGTCAGCAAAAGGCATCCCCAGGCCCCTGCTCACGCACCCGGATGATGGTAGAGATGTTAAGCCGGTATTTACTCAGCCCCGCCCTGCTCAGCCTCGGGAGCGGACGTGTTCTCAGCTGGTGGTTCGGCTGTCTTCGTCTCTTTGCCATCTTGTGGTTTAGGGTTCTCTGGGCGTCTGCGTCGGTAGTTGAAATTACGGCGGTACCGACGTTGAGGTGGCTGCTGACTTTGGGTTTCATCCCCTTGGTTCTCTTTATCTTCTTCATTTCCGTCCTCTCTAGGCTGTCTTTGACGAGGAGGACCCCTGAAAGTCAAGCTAGGCTTTAACCATGCAGCACCTGAGCATCGCCATGTCCCAGCTCTGCCGCTGGACAAGGCTGAGAGCAGCAGCTGATGTGCAGCATACCTGCGAAATCTTGGTCTGTAACCCCGGTACATGTTTTGCCTGACTGGTCTGCCGTCTCCTGCACCCTGGTTGTCAGCACCCTGCAAGACATCAGGCCACAGACCCCCTCAGCCCCAACTAGAAATGGGCTAATTCCACAGCTTGTCAGGCTGTGACAAAGGAGCTGGAAGGCTGTCAGTTCAGTCAAGGTGAACAGCAGTTTCAGGGCACAGGTGTGCACACGATGGAGAATCCTCCAATTAATCACCCAAATTGCAACACTCTGCTTTTTACAAGCTGCAACAAGGACACCTTCAGCTACTTCATTTCACATTACTGCTAAACCTTACCAAAATCATCTGGAGTGTCGATTTTGACACAAGAAGTGCCAAAAGGCGCATCCCATCACCCTGCTGCAAAGCAACCAAGCCTGTTTAGCATCATGTCAGGCAAACATTACCTCCACTATCTCTCCCTGCACGGGAGGGTTGGTATATTGTGGACGACGCCCGTAGGGCCTACGCATATAGTAAGGTGGGTACCGCCGCCTGCGATAGGGACGGCGTTGCTGGGCTTGACCTTCTGGTATGTTCTCTGCTCCTTCATTCTTTTCCCCACTCTCACTGTTCTGGTAGTTTTGCTGGTAGTTGCGTGGAGGACCCCTACGACGTGGATATCGTCTGTAATGGTTACGATCTGCTGCGTATTTACTGCCCTGCACTGGAACTCCACCAGGTCCTGTGACATTGGCTGCCTCCGCGCCCTGAAGAGTGGAAACAGCGTTAGGGAAACATCACTCTCCCACCAGCTGCAGTGTAACAGTCTAGTGCTGAGCAATGATTTACATCCACACTGTGAAGAAATGAAAAACCATTCACCTCCTTGGATGTCATGAGGCATCAACTCCAACCACAGGCATCACAGCAAAGCCTGCAATCTGAG